AGCTCGGTTCGTAGCATCGTAGCGTCTTTGCTCCGTTCGTAGCGTCTTTGCCCTTGTTAATGACGAAGATTTGACCTCTCGGAGGTGCCCTGAACATGGGACCCCACCCGTTGACCACGAGGTAAGTCGGGTTCGCTAAGGTGCTGATCGTCCTGTTGGCCTTCTTGTTTGCATGGTGCTGCTGTGCGGTCCCCGGAAGTCAAATTGATCAAGTTCCTTCCTCCAACCTGGCCTTACTACTAGGAGCAAGGACGATACTAGGCGCTCCTGGCATCGCTACTAGTAGCATTCTTACTACTAGTAACAAGAAGCTACGATCGGGGCTCCTCAATGTTTGCAACGCAACAGGTGCATGCTGCTTGAGAGGGCCAAGGGCAAATACCCGCTGAGAGTGCCAGTCATGGCTTGCTCACGTGTCACAGATGTGACTAGGATGACAGCAGCGAACGGAAACTAGGCAAAGCGAACGAGGACAGCAGACATGACCTCAATCAGTTGATATTTTACAGATTTTTACAGTGGGCCATCAGAGTAGATGGCACAATCCCCCAAGTTTGGTGGTTTATATGGCCCCCCATTTACAAGACATCTTTGGGTGCCAGTGCCATCTATTCTGATGGCCCACTGTACACAACGAATGGGAGAGTGACCAGTCACTCGAGGCTTTGAGTTATCTTGACCTCGGCTGGCAATGTCCGCACGGGTTGGACGAACGGTTGAACAAAGTCAAAGGAGTGCAGTGAGAGTGGAATGGTGTGACACATGAATTGGGTTCATCGGAAGAGACCTCTTGAAGCCAAGATGGTGACGTTCCTTGGATTTCTTCGCAGAAGAGTGAGCATCATTCCAAGCACAGGAACCCCTCAGGACACCAGATCGAACAAGCCGCAGGACACTGATACAATAACACCTGGATTTTTCCACCTCGGAACGTGAGAGCGAGTGTTTCACACAGTGGAACAGTGTGAAGCACCTCGTGACATAGGAGCCGGGCCGTAACCGGTCACAACCAGTCACGTTCACCCAACCCCGTCACGCGTCCTTTCTTCGTCGCACGCCGGGTCATTGTAGCCTGTGGCACGCCATGCAGCCTGTGGCACGATGAAGGGCGTGGCCGCCGCTTGGCACGGATAGTTAGAGGATGTTTCTAAGGCACCTGTTCCTAGTAGCGTGGCACTTGTTACTACAAAGGTCTCTCTTGAGAGAAACACTTCTTGTCAACAAAAGATTTCTCGTGTGTGAAGCTGGCATTATTCTCGATCATTATGCCTTTTACGTTCAACATCGTTTTGAGGCAACCATTGTGCAACCAATTTTCTCGCTGAATAATTATTGGTGGGGCTTGACATGGAAGAATGTGAGTTCACAACTGACTCATTGCGGTAAATATTTTGGAAGCCATGCTTGAACCGAGTTCTGCACTTGTTCACCCAGGTGAAAGATGCTGATTCTTCCCATAGGCCTGAGGGCGTCCAATGATGGTTGCCGAGACAAAGGTGTGAGTTTTCCAAGGTGTTTTGATTCATTTCCGTTAAGCACCCCACGCTGCTGGGCTACCCTTTGCCTCTCAAAACGCTGGCTGGGCAGAGGCAAGGAATGGAATCCCTCCAGGGCGGAACTTGGTGTGAGAATAGAGGACATGCCATCGACTGAGGAACTTCGGTGAGTTGGAGCAACGAAACGGGTCGGTGGAAATCACGAAAAGTTCACGAGAATTACATAGAACTACTCTTAGGTGGCGATGGCTATAGTTATCATGAACACATCCTCCAGTGCTACCTGTGGCTGCCGGATGCGTGCAGGCGATCAGTTTTAAGAGTGCCACGGCCATGGCCTGGGGTGCTTGGGCTTGTAGGGCCAGAGCCTGTGCCACCTATGCCTGTGGGGTCTGCGACGCCTGAGCACCAAGGCGGACAGGGTTGCGGACAGGATGATGTGAGGAATCAGCTTGAAGCAGCTTGAAGGTCTTGAGGTTTTGATGGAAGTTCATTTTTGATGAACTATGCAGGGTCTTGTTTGAAGGATTTGGCGTGGACTGTGATGCGGGACGAGAGCTTTCAGAGCTTTCAGGGCACCTGAGGGACGAGTGGGGGTTGAAGATCGAGCACTGGCAGGGACGAAGATTCCAGGCGAAGTTGAAGAGGAGGCCTGGGCAGAGTGTGGCAGTACATGATTTGACCACTTTCCAAAGGAGAGCCAGGAACTATTTGCTAGTTACTGGAGTTGGAATGTTTTGAAAGAGAAGAGACGAGTTCAGATGAGATCGAATTGAGAATTGAGTCCATTTTGAATAGATCAAGTCTCCGCTCTTCATTGCGCCGGGTCTTTCACTGTCGCTGCAGGTCCCACTCTCAAGGTCCAGCCCTTGGGACACGCAAACCTCTGGCATCAAGCCTCATCAGGTTGTGCAAAAGAAAGTTCTGTCAGCCTTCCTAATTTGCCTTCAAAACATTTCTCATAGCAGTGCCCTCCCCAGGCGATGTAAATTTGCTGAGGTGTATTTAAAGGTTGTCATTGTTGTACATGTTGCATGGTTGATTTGAATTTCTGGCCTGGGAGTTCATGCATGTTCATGACACATCTGCATGGCTCAATGATAGTCATAGCAAACCCATCCTGACATGACATTTATAATCATCATGCTGACATATACTGACCTTGGTAATGACGTATAGCCGTATAGCTCGCCTTTTCTGTTCTCCAAAGGCGGTCATTTGACACTTACCAGTTCCAAATGAGCTCTAAAATCTGTTCCCAACAATCTAGGAAGTTAAGAGCAAATGGAGCAGATTCCCAACAAACAAACAATCTAAAATCTGTTCCCAAATGAGCTCTAATTATATCGTGAGTTTGTTTGCTTCGGATGTTCCTTTAGGGAGGAACTGAGCATGTCTCCGGTACCACCAATGGTGAACTGAGGGCGATGACGCAGACCTCCACGTGCCGGCCCCCGGACGTTTAAAATGTATCAATCTTGTTTAAACCTCAAAAGATTCACGCGAGACGACATGAAAATTGACATCGCTAGTAGGTTGGAGGCCAAACATCATGTCGTATTTGATACGACTAGGACGCCGGACTGGCCGACGGTGTGACCGAGGCGACCCAGTGTGCGGCGACCGGTGGTCCCGAAGCTGTCCCTGCGCGGGGTTTTCCGGGAAAAGGAACGGCTGGGGTGGCCCAGGACCTATTCTCAGCTGATCAGTGGAGAGAAGTGGTAAGAAGCCACTTACGTAGCGAATAGACCGAGTAGACTCGAAGTGGTCACAGGTCTTGATCGATCATAGACCTCCTTTGCTTCCGGCGAAGGTCGACCGAAAGATCTCCCCTCCCTCCTTTTCACCCGGAAGACCGGTGGATTTTGAGAGTGACATCCTCCGAGGGCTGGTGAATACAAGCTGAAGATGGACTACAAGGACGGGCGAACGAGACGGCTGGACGCGTCGTCGCTCACCAGAAAGATTTGTTTTCCCGACTTCCCGTTCCTTTTTGGCCCACTATTGCTCTCCTAATACATTTTAATACTAAATATACAAATATTGTTTTTTGAACTTCAAGGGGGTAGGCCGCTAGTAGCTAGGTAGCAGAGGTAGCTAGTAGCTTAAGTAGCTACTACTTAGGACGCAGGATAGCTCACGCTTCTTCAAGGAAGCTTCCCCCGCTGCCTTTAGGGGGCAGCGGGGGAAGCTTCCTTGAAGAAGCGCTCCCACTAATGATTTGGTTCCTAGATTTTTAGAGACACTTAACATTAGAAGTATTTTCATCGTGCATCGGTGGTATGCTAAGTGAAAAAATCTTCATGCAAATCTGTTTCCAACCCCACACCTCTAGCCGTCCCCAAGCATCTCCAGAAACTGGTCCCCTCACCTTCCCTCATGCTGTGAACTTGTGCAGTGTGACGACAGCGACCCAGAGTCGGACGTGGAGTCTGAAGAGGAAGGGGAGGTGCCGCATACTTCGTGGAGATGCCGAACATGTGACCGGGGTTCAAACGATTTTCGTAGCGAAACACGATGGGCTTTTTGAGGAACGCGCATGACATCATGAGCTTTGTTGACAGCGAACACGTCAAAGTGTAGCTTTGGGATGTTCTTGGATGCTGGCATCCCAAGAGTTGGCCAGGATCCTCAATTCTCAGAACTCCTGATGGACGAGGCACGATGAGCAAAAGTGAGATAGGTCCAGGTGGATCTTGGATTGTTGTGTGCCACATGAAAGGAAACACTAAGTCACTAAGTGTCGATGTGCCGCAAGGTTTCTATATACCTGAAATGTTCGGAACACGTCTTGGAAAGAATCTCTAGATATCTCTAGGTTGTCTTGACGCCGTTACGAACGGGTGGAGGCCATGGTGGAGGCCATCGCTGGTGTTCCCATGTTCACCTCTCGGCGAGGCCATTGAGGTCCTCCTAAGAAAGAGATACCGCGTGGTGGAGGAGGCGAGTTCCTCGTCGAGTTCTCGAACAAACATCGAGGTTCAGTGCCAAACGGTGTAGAGAGATGGCACTGAAGCCTCGGAGTTGCCGGAGTTGCCTCACAGAATGGCGATTTCTAGTTTAGTGCGAATACTGACAATCCATGCGATTCATGTAGTATTTCCAAAAACCTTCGAGGTTGTACCATGGAAATCATATGAAATCATAGAGTCTAGAGCCTCCGCCAACTATCTAGAGCTGTCTCGTGCCAAAGCTGCTTGCCACTAGCTGGCGAAAACCAGAATGCTGTTTCTATTAGCTTGCACTTCTTAAAGCGCTTCTTGGGCTTCGCAACTGTTTGCGGGCTCGGAATGTCGCGTCACATCTCTCCATCTATCTCTGGCCTCTCGTTTAGGTGAAACCTCCAACACAAAGCCTTTGGGTCCGCCTCTTTGGCGGGTGCCTGGTGGAGGAACCGAGCCGAACGAACGAACGGGTGGTGTTTGGATCCGTTTTTGGATGGGTTTTGGAGGTCAACAAAGGGGGTCACACAGATTGATCCTGATTGATTCAGTCCTTCCTTGACTCAGACATTGTGCCGATGACAAGGCTTTTCCAAGATAAACATCATTTGAAATCATTTGAATCATTTGGTGTTTGTGATGATTTTGGTGTTTTGAGTCATATTTCGTTTACCATATGTAAGTTTCTTTTTTGGTCTGTGGTTTCTTGTTTCGTGAAGATGTTGTGGTGCTTTTTGTTCTCATCGATGTCTCTGTTCTGTCGAGGCGGAGGACAAGGAGTCGAGATCGGATCCTGTAAGTCGACCCGCGCTCATTGGCGCGAAGACGGCGGCAAATCTTGGGATCAGCAGCTTGGCAAATGAAGCTGACGACCTCGAAGAGACCTCGAAGAGACCTCGAAGAGACCTCGAAGAGAC